TGCCTCAGAGGGTGATCATGACCTATCTGCATGGGCACATCTGCCCTGTGGCCTGTCTCACTTCACCATCTAGCATCAGGAGTTGTAGTGGAGTTTTCCTGTCCTGGAAGCCACTTCCAAATTACCACATAGAGGCTTTTTTTTTTTTTTTTTTTTTTTGGTTTTTCGAGACAGGGTTTCTCTGTGTAGCTTTGCGCCTCTCCTGGGACTCACTTGGTAGCCCAGGCTGGCCTCGAACTCACGGAGATCCACCTGGCTCTGCCTCCCGAGTGCTGGGATTAAAGGCGTGCGCCACCACCGCCCGGCCTAGCTTTCACATTTTAAGTTAACCCATATTCCTTATTTACCCTCTGCCACATGGTGGTACCTTTATTATCATGGTACACTCATCTCTTGCTCCCTCTGTGTCTGGTTGGTGACTTCTGACTCTGCCCTCTTCCTTCCCACCTAACTTCCTGCCTAGCTACCAACCTGTCAGCTTTTTATTAACCAATGAGAGTAATACATAATCCCAGTGTAGAAAAGGATTGTTCCATAGCAAGGAGTACTCTCCTAGGTAGCCTAGGGTTCAAAGTCCAAACCACAAAATAATGTACCCACCAGTCTATTTTAAGGGTACCCTACTCTGCTAAGCTCTGCCTTTGGTAACTTTAAAATATTTAACTCGTTTAAATACTCTGTAGAGTTTCTATTGTTGACTTTTTGTGGGTAATTTTTATTGTTATTTTTTTAAAAATCGACAGTATCATACCTTGTGTACAATGTAACTGAGATTTACACCCCCCACCCTCTCTTAACCTCTTCCCTCCACTGACTCTCTTCTCCCCACCTAGTTCCCTCCCATCCTTATTTCCTTCCCTCATTTCCTTCTTATGGGGGGTGGGGGATACAGGCAGTCACAGCTTCTGTGTTTCCATGATTGCAGCAGCCATGTGATAGATTCAAAGTCAGTGCTCACTACACTCCTCCCTACCCTGTGGTTCCCACATCCCTTTGCCATCTTCTCCATGATGTTCCTTGGGACTAAGAGGTGTGATATAGATGTCCCATTTGGGACCAAGCACTCCGCAGTCACTTATCACCCATTGCCAGAACAGGCTCCTCTGGTCAAGGCTGAGTGCTGTCTTGGTATATTATAAACATTTGGAAGGCAGTTCAACTACATGTCCATTTGGCAAAACGTAAGTAATGGATTCCCCTGTAGATCCCGTGAGCAACCTTTTTAGTCCCGGGCTTTTGAGCAGTTGACAGTGCTAGGCATATATTCCCTCCTCTGGGTTGTGCTTCAGATCCGATAAGGAAGAGTGGTTAACCCAGAACGTTCACGCCACCATTGTACCAGTGGGCGTGTCTTGCCAGGCAGTTCACTGTTGTAGCAGGAAGGGTCTATAGCTGGATGTGATTGCTGAAGGTTTTCTTCCCAGTGGCCTGCATAGCACCTCCCAGCTCACTGAATGCCAGCTAGTAGAGAGAGAGCTGCCAGCTCAGTTCCAGCCTTGTTTCTCTGTGCCTTGTATCCAGAACATGTGTGTCTTCAGCAATTGGGTTTTACTGACTAGTTACGATGGGCAGTTAGGAGCAGTGGTAATAACCCCAATTGCTTTGGTAGCCTCTGTGGGCTACCTGACCAACTCATAGGGACTTGGCTTTGAAAGCCTATGACTTGGGGGTGTATTGTTGACCTTTCTTAATAGAGGAGGAATCCAAGGTTCAAAAATGTTTAAATATTTTCCTCTCGTGTGACTCATCATTGCATGGTGGGCTGTACTGCTTTGAAGCCCACAGTATTCCAAAACTCGGCAGTGCCTTCCAGTTTTTGTAGGCTGTCCTGAATATGTTAACTTTATCCTAGTAAGGAAGACAGAATCCCTTTCGCCCATAGTCTCTTAACTCTGAAGAGCTTCATTACTGAAACATCTTGTTCTGAACTGTGTTCAAGGTCTGGGCTCTGTCAGCCACTTGAAGATGGTGAACACACAGAAGGCAGGAGAGTGTCGGAAACAGACTGGTTCTCTGGGGCTCGTGTGGATGTTGTTCATCTTCCCCAGCACCGGCCAGTCTGCTGCCTCTCTGCCTTCCGCAGCTCCGTTTAAGTTTTAATTATTTTCAAACGGAGCTGCTGTGTTGAGGGCCTCTGAGAGAAGGAAGTGTAGTGCTCCAGTGTCTAGCTCTGCTCTTCACTGCACACGGATGCAGCCCTTGCTGCCCCTGTCCTTGTGACCAGGTGACATCAGTGACTGCACGCCGCAGAGACAATGCTAAAGAGAAAAGAACAAATCACAAGCTTCGTCTGCTATCCAGGACTTCCCGTGGCAGCAGAGTGATGTCTACTTCTCTTGCTTAAATGTTAGGATCATTCATTTTGCTTTTCAAAGAAAGTTAAAAACAAAAACAAAACAAAACAAAAATAGACTCCATTTCACCCCTTTCTCTTGGGTTTTCAGTTGCAACTTCTCATCCACCTTGGGGTCCTCCGTTCTGAGCTCTAGTGAGGAAGAGTCTGTGATCAGGGTAGGTGCTTGTGAGCCTCCTCAGCCATTGCTTTGGGTCTCCAAGGAAGACAGGCCTCTGCATTCTTAGTGTAGGGCGCAGGCTGTCAGCAGTCATGGAAGCCTGGCCATTCGTTGGCACTGCGTGCCGTTTCTAGTCACTCTTTTCAGTGCAGGAGAGGAGGGGCCTGGCTTCTGTCTTTGGTGTTCCATTTTTTAAAGTGTGGGCTTGGGTAAGGACATCAAGCCATTGCTGTGAGCTATGCTGTAATTGTACAGGCTTAAAAAGCATGTGAGCCAAGGTGACAGGGCCTGTTGTGGGCATGCTGTGTAGCCAGCAAGAAGCGTGATGTACAGTGATGAATGGCTCATTTGACCTCAGGATTGTGGGCGGAGATAACACTGTCTTCATTTCTGTGGGGCTTTGACCTGGAGACATGTCTCAGTGTTCTTCTTATCCATTATTTTGTTGATTGTCACAAACACTGTCATTAAACTTGTAAAGTGTATTCCACTACAACTGTTTGTCTTCAAGTGCTTATAACTGTGGCAAGGGGAGGGAAGGCTGCATAATTTTGTCTGTTCCTGCCATTTACATCAGGGTAAGACTGGGAAATGACTGTTATCGAAACTTGAATGCTTGATTCCGTGTTTCCAAAAGGCAGGCAGGACTGTTGAGCACCTGCTTTAGGCACTGCCCAGGGAAGGCCCTGTTAGTCATCTCCTGGCTCGTGTACCATGCACAGTAGGAGAGCTCATTCTTCTTGGATAGCTTACCCTTGAGACTAGGATATGATCAGATTCCATCCAGCTGCCTGCTCTAAGATTGCAGACAGCAGCACTCTGGCTACCTTGGCCATGTGCGGTTGAAAGTGCTATGCTAGTTGAGTTCCTGTGGTTACAGGAAATGGCCAAAATTAGATTCAGGCCAAGGTGCCAGGTTTAGTGCACCCCTTCCCTCCCAGAAAGCACCAGTGAGACTGTCGCTGCCAGTAGTAAAAGACAGCATAGTCTGTACTACTCAGACCCTTAAGAATTTAATTTAAATGAACTCTCCACCAAAAACAAAAGAGAACCCAATCAGCTCAGCCCTCTTAGTCTGCATTGAGGCTGAGGAAATCAGAGAAACCTTCTTTGTGCCTGCAGGGTTCTGGTAGGAGCAGTCGCTGGGTCTCAGCAAGGGAAGGATGGTTCTCCCTGCAGTAAGTCCAGACATTCTGAAGAGCTAGACCAGGAGAGCCCATTAATATGGGTTATGAAGATGAGTGATCGGCTTGTGTCAAGGAGCAGATGGCTAAATGAGGTGCACAGGGAATGCCATGAGACTCAGGCTGGAAGAAACGGAAGAAGATAGCTCATAATGCAAAACCCCTAAATATAATCTCCTTAATGTGAATGTTTCAAATAGTCTTTTACATTATACGGTTAATTCGGAGTGATGAGAAATGTTAGGAAATTATGGAATTAGTGAACAGCGATTAACTTGGAAGTCAAATTCTATCATCTAAATCGAAGGTTGTTCTACGTGCAGAGGGAGGGCATTACTAAAACGTTGGCCAGCCTGTCGTTTCCTAATTGAAATCTGTCCTCTCATATGCCCCCGTCTCTCCTTGTATAGTTCATAATTTGGAAGAGCGTTCTTGGTTAATCTAGTTGTTTTTCATGGTTCTTCCTTTGAATTCTAGTAAGATAGCGGGGAGCACATTCCCTGTGGTGTTGTGTGACACTCAGAAGACTGAGTTGTGTCTTCATTAACCTGTGAACTGTTGGTCCTTTTAGAGCTAAGGGAGCAAGTTGCTCCAGGGTTTAAAGCTTATTTGTCGAAGATGAAGCCTCTAGGGAAAGAAATGGGGTGAACAGGCCAAGACACTCCAGATCTGCCCAGTGAAACTCCACACCATGTGCAGATGGCATAGCCTGGGGCCCAGAGAGAAGCTGCAGAGCAAGCTGGGTCCTCTCTACAGAGAAGGCTCCCGGCAGTCAGGTGGGGGACTGGCGTAAGTATATAAGCTTGACTTCCCAGTCGGGACTTGGGAGCAGTACTAAAATAAAAGACATCCATAGTGGTTTTCAGTAGTTTATGTGCAGGTTTGCTTTTGGACAGGGAAACAGTATTGATTTCATGCATTTGTCTGCAATGGATGGAACCTCTTGGAACTGAAGGCATTTGATTTTGCCTGTAGTTTTTCACACGTACCCAGATAGACTCCTGTCTCCGAGGCAAGGTAGAAGCTGGTTGTTACTCTCTAGGGTGAATGTCTCAGGTATTTACATTTGTTCTGACACACAAGGGTTGAACTAAATAGTACTGGTATGATTTCAAGGTAAGTCAGAGCCAAGGTTTGTTTAATTCCCTGTGAAATGGCCTGGCCATGAGCCGGCCAAGGACATTGACTAGAATTTTCAGGGTCCTCTCTACTTTGTGTGTGGTGTGGTGTGCCTTACCTGCCTATGCCTGGCTTGGATGTGGCAGAGCTCATTCCAACACATGCGCTTTCTTTTCACCCTCAGGTATATCCGAATAGTTGGGACTCACAACACAGTGAACAAGATTTTCCACATTGTGGCTTTTGAATGTATGTTCACAAACAAAACCTTCACTCTGGAGAAGGGCCTAATAGGTAAGTATTACAATGGTATTTTTGCATATATACTTACTTTGCCTTCAGAATTTTCTTATTCTAATAGTTCCTCTTAACCTTAAGCTCTGATTAGGGACTTCTAGTTGATTTTTGAATGCCATATGACTGAGTGACAGAGACTAGCCTTTGTAGAAGAATTCAAAATAATAAATTCAGTAAACTTAAAGGAAAAACAAATATGAATATAATACTAGAGCTAGCAATTGAAAGCATCTGGGGACTTTTCCAGATTTGCAGAGTAGAAAATGCTTTTCATAGCCAGGCAAAGGCTTTCACACCAAAGGCTTTTCTATATTTAATGGTAGGTGAGGCTGGGAAGGAAGTCTAGTATTGATCTGATGTTCATAGTTTCCACAGCTATGAAGGCATGTTGGCTTTGATTTGATATGAATGGTATATGTAGCTGTGGGAATGTTTCCTTAGACATGTCAGTTCCAGATTCACTCTGCTTAGCCAAATTACCCTTGAGAAAGTTCTAGTCTATAATTTGAGTAAGTCTGGAATGCTGGACTACCACTGAGGAAGTCAAGTTACTGGGTGGGAGCTACGTGTGTGTGTGTGTGTGTGTGTGTGTGTGTGTGTGTGTGTGTGTGAGACTGGCTGGCTGGCTGGCTGGCTGGCTGGCTGGCTGGCTTTGTTTTAGGCATTGCTTAGCCCATTGCCCACCATCCATCCCTGGTCTTGACCTTGGTGATGTCAAGAGTGATTTTTCCTTTCCAGACAACTTCCTCTCCCACTCTTGAGTTGTTCCTCCCCCCCTGCATCGATAGGCTCATGAGATCCTTGAGTTTGTGTTTTGACTGTAGCTTTCTTTGGAAAAAAAAAACACTCACTGTGTGTTGGGGGCAAGGTATGCTTTAGCCTCGCCTTACCAAACATAGAATTGTGTGCCTTTAAAGGAGAATTCAGTTCTCTTGTCCGTGTTGGGACCCATGTCCACACTGACATAAGTCTTTAAGCGTGGCAGTGAGTGTAACAGGAAGGAGGAATACAAACTCACAGCCAGTGATGTTTGAATGGGTGGAGCCTACAATCCCCACATCTGCTGTGCCCCTCATAACGTACAGAGACGCCAAGACTGGAGATTTTTCCATTGAGAAGAGCTCAGCCAAATGATTCTTTTTCCCTTTACTGTCGATGTAATTAAAAAATGAACATTAGTGCTATTTTTGTGACTTTCAAGTAATTTGAAAATTAACAAACTTGAAGCACAGTGTAGTGGCATTGCCTTCTAATTCTGTAGGGTATGTAGATTTGTGGCTACAGGCTTCCTGGGTCCCTTGGAGACTTCAGGCCTCACTCATTGTGTGCAGTCAGGAGAAAGAAGCCTTGCTGAGGAAGATCTGAGGAACCAAGAGCCTGTAGATTCACAACCTGTGTGACATCATTTTAGCCCCAAGGACTGCATTCTTGTACATGTTGTATTCATGTAAATCAGTCCCCTTCATCCTGGAGGAAGAGCAAGTTTGTTGATACTGTAACTACCTAAGAAACAGGCCTGTCTGGTAGAGAGGCCACTAAAAGAACAGACTCGGTATCCGTTGTGGTGAGGCATGCAGTCTTGCTCTGCATGTTCAGCCGGCGCTCTGCAAGGCTATAATAGCATCCAAGTGTGACTGCAAAGGGTACTGCAGTCCCACACCTGTCACTGTCCCTCGGCCACATAGGAGCAGTGGCTGGGCCACTAGGTGGCTATGCATGTGAGCTCACCAGTGGATATAAAGATGAGACTTCCTGGACTCATCTGTACAGTTCAGAGCTGCCCAGACTAGGCAGAGAGGGAAGCGGTGGGAGTGGGAAGGGCACAGGGGCTCGCATACCGAGTCTGACAGTGCAGCTCTGCTTAGCTTACAGAGGTGTGTAAAGCAGCAATGGACAGATGGCCATGGTGGTTATGTCAGATGCCTTATAGCAGCACCTAGCCCTTAGCTAGCTCTCCTGCTGGAACCTTCCAGAAAAGAATAGACAATGCAGGGCATAGGCAGGCCAGATATACCGAGAGGTGAACTGTTTTAGATGAAACCTCCTTGAGAGCCCAAGATTGTCATGGCTGAAAAGAAATAGGAAAACAACAGAAATACTGTGGGTATCTAAGAGTATCACGGCCTCCTGTGATTTCTAGATTTGTAGACTGTCAGTTCTCAGTTTCCTCCAACAGTTCAGAGTCTTCTAATTACTCTTCTGTAGACAAATGACTTGAAGCTATTTGTGGTTTTTAAAATCAGATTTCAGTGTTACAACATGTGATGATGCCAGGAAGTGGCACAGCAAAGGTGGTGGTGTCTCTTTCCTTTGTGTGGGGGGGTGTGTGGGGGGGGCTGTTTGTTTCTGTTTTGTTTGGGTTTGTAGACCCTCAAACTCCTAATCTGCTGTGTCTCTCAAATGCTGGAACTGGAGGTGTGTGGTACCATGGCCTGCGCCTCTCCCTCCTCATGCCGCTTCACATGCACAGCTTAGCAGAAAAGCCTGCTGCAGCTTGATCAGGGTCCTCTGTCCCTGGGAGTGGTATACCAGCACTTTGCTGCCGCCTCCGCCACAGCCCATCTCACTTGATGGTTGCTTGTGGATCGTGCTGCGATGCGTCCTCTCCCGGCATAGCGGGCCTGTGGTGATTGTGTTCTCCATGTTAGGAAGAATTGCAAGAGACCCTACCGTGGCACTGGTGAGGCACGGAAGGACTAATTAGAGCAGAAGCAACTACTGTCTCACACGTTCCCGACCTCCCAAACGTGGCGTTTGTTCGGCACTCTACTCTGTGATCTTTGTATATGTTTGCCGAGGACTGAGTTTTCACAGCCACTCAGAGAGTCTGCATTCACGTTCCCTTCTTTGAGCATCATACTAGTTACTCACTTGAAGACTCTAGTCCCTACCAGCCGTCTGTGAGAACAACTCACAGCCAGCTTAGTTTTAGCTATCTATAACTTCCTCCCCACCAGATTACTGTTATTTTTATGTGTATACATATTTTGTCTGCATGTATGTCTGTGCACCACATGTGTTCCTGGTGCCCAAAGAGGCCAGTAGAGGGGTTCGATCCCCTGCAACTGGAGTTAGAGATAGTTGTGAGCATCAGTGGGGTTGCTGAGTCCTCTGGAAGAGCAGCCAGTCTTCTTAAATACTGAGCCATCTCCAGCCCCACCACTAGATTACTTTGAAGTCAGTCATGAGTATTCTATTATTCAGTATTATGATGCCATTATAATTCCTCATATTTGAATAGTAATTTCTTAAGATAGTAAGTGGTAGCCAGTACTGAAATGTCTCCTAATAGTTTCAAAGTCTGCAGTGAGAAAGTTGGTATTTTGTAAGTTATTCAAATCAGATGTAAGGGGGAAGAAACAGGGCTAGGAGTTTGACTCCATAGCACAGTGTTTGCTTAGCATGCATACAGCCCTGGTTCCATTCCCAGCACCCCTTCCAAAATACTTCTGATAAGGCTCCTTGTCCCCTGCTCAGGACCCACTCTTTCTGTAGTAAGAGTTTATTAGTTGAAGAAAACAGATTTTTGTTTACAGTGTAACTGACGGCTTGGATTTTGGTTACTGAGCCCCAAGGCATGCTCACCCATTGCATTTCCTGTGACAAAGAAGTTAGAAGCCAAGTCAGATTTTCCTATTAATTTTAGTTACCTCTGCTCCATAGTTAATGTGTGTGCTACAGCATCATGAAACACGTAGATGGTCAGATTCTCTGTCCTTCGGATATTTCCATCTTTTGATGACTTTCTCAAATCTGCTGCTTCATAATTTGGGACTACAGAATGATGTTCCAAGTCTGTCCTTTTTTGATAGCTAGAAAGAGAACATTTCTCTAAGGTTTCATTTGATAATCCTAAGATGTAACTTCCCCAGGAAAAATAGGATGAACGTTACAGTGTTTTTCCTTTCTGAACCAGTTTTCCCATTGAAGAAGTAGCTCCCTAGCTTCCTCCAAGTGTGACCAAAGAAGTAGATTTGTGTACTGTTTCTGTTGTTTCTGTGTGATATGTGCATATTGTGTACGCGTGTGTGTGTGTGCTTGTGGTATGTAGGTTATCTCACTGCATCGTAGTTTTTCAGGGAAGTCTCTCATTGGAGCTTGCTACTATCTTTATTTCTGTTTCTGGGCCTTTCTGTTTGCAGAAGGAGGAAATGAATGTTCATAGCCTTATTTATATATCATCTATTTAACAGATAAAATGTGTCATTAGCACACCTTAAACTTCAGTGCAAATTCAGTTTGGCCTTTCTGTCTTCCATCTCCTTTTCAACCTTAGTTACCAGTGACACAGCACAATAGTTCATTTACTCTGTCCCTGTTCATACAAATAGTCTTAGAATGACAGGACCAATGCTATCACGGGCATGTCAGTACTGAAAATAGTGTAAGTATCTTTCCAATCAGTTTTTGTGTCCTAGGATAGATCTCACTCAAAATGTATAAGAAATTATGTCTTAGAGGTAACTGAAACTGCTCAGTGTGGCTCACCCTCTCAGTATACAGTTAGGTCCATCTGTTACTATGGACGCTGCTTTCAATATGTAGGCCACTGTCAATAAGGGCAGCTGCTGTAAGGTCGTGATTACTGTGGCTGTGTCATAATTGGAAGTTGACAGTTTGCAGCCCTTCTTCCTGTCTTCTGGCTCTTAGATTCTCTCTTCTCCCTCTTCTGTAATGTTCCTGGACCCAAAGGGGAGTGGTATAAATATCATGTTTAGGACTGAGCCCTCAGTCCTCCTTTATTCTCAGTATCTTATGGAGCCATGGGTTTCTGTATTCACTTCCTCTCACTACAAGGGGCTGAGCATCACCTTTGTCTCCAGAGATAGTACAAACACAGATATTTAGAAGACAGTCTGATGCTACATCAGTTTAGCCAAATCGCAGTTTTAGGTCCCTCCTTAACATAAGATTACCTTGGTCTTGGGTTTTTGACTGGGTTTACAGTTCTGTGGATGGATTCCCTCTCATTGAGTGGGCCTCAAATCTAATCAGTG